GTGGAATTGTGTGTCAAATTTGTATAATTGACAATTGAAAGGGTATTGCTTGGGGATTCGTGATCCTAGTGTGTTAGAACATCCATTAATTCTATAAAATTCTAGTTAAATTGCATCCAAGTTACTTTGAACTTAGTAAAATCCCTCATCCATAATTGTATCAATGATTATATTTTGTTAGTTAAAATACAAAATCGCAATTTGGTTGTCGTGTTTCGGTTAAGGTCATATTAGATTAATTCGAACTAATTCAATCCTCGTGGGATCGATACTTGGACTTATAGTCTATTTTACTACTTATGAACGAACCGTACACTTGCAGTGGATTTAAAATCGGAATAAACAATTTTTCGAACAAGTTTTTAGCGCCGTTGTCGGGGATTGAAATTTAGTTTTAATTTTATCTTTTATGACACTAATTCGAACTTATCTAGATTAGTAATAGTTAGCTTACTAGGTTTAGTTTATTATTACTTCAAGTTAATTTTGTATTGATTTTGCAATCTCAGGGCTTGTATACAAGGAGCACCTAATCAAGATCTGGTTCTCATAGATCTAGAGATTGAACGCACATTCCGTCACAGGCAAAGAGAAGCAAGAGCGGCACACCAAATGGCTAACGAGCAAAATCGACCGGTAATTCCACTCAACGAATGCATGGCAGTTGAAGATGATGAGAATACAGTACTCGGGGACTTCGTGGCTCCGTTAGTGGTCCGAAGTCAATCTAGCATTGTGTATCCTCCATTTGGGCAACCGAACTTCCAGCTGAAAACAAATGTGATTCAATTATTTCAGAATGGGCATCAATACCACATGATGGCTAGTGAGAACCCACATACACACATATCCCGATTTCTGGATATGTGCCAACACTTCAGGTACCAGGGTAGGGTATCTCGGACGATGCTATAAGACTGCAGTTGTATCCACACACCTTGCGGGATAAGGCACTTGAATGGTTGGGTTCGCTTCCCGTTGCAAGCATCACCACCTGGAACAAACTAGCCCACAAATTCTGCACTAAGTTCTTCTCGCCAGCAAAGATAGCCAAAATGCGGCATGATATCTCTATTTTCAACCAAGGTAAGTCTGAATCATTTGAAGAGGCATGGAATCGTTTCAAGAATATGTTGAGGAAGTGCCCGCAACATGGCTTTGACAAGAAGACACAGATCTGATTTTTCTACATTGGACTACTTCTATCCTTCAAGAGCATGGTTGATTCCTCATCTGACGGGTCTATCTCCATGAGAACAGTTAATGGAGCATGGGAGCTATTTGAGAGAATGGCAACAACTTCAGTCATGTGGTCTATAGATCGAGTGGTTCAGAAGAGATTGTCGGGGGTTTATGAAGTAGATACTTCTTCCGCACTATCTGCAAAGATAGACTCTTTGTTCCATAAGGTTGAGAGCATTTCACAGACTGCCACTGCTAAACAAGTCAAGAAATCGAGTTGTGAAGAATGTGGAGTAGACCACAATATTGTTAATTGTCCAATTCTCGCACAAGGGGTCGAACATGCAGATTTTGTGCAATGGGGTCAACGCCAACAGAATAACCCACATTCGAAAACCTTCAATCAGGGCTGGAGAAAACACCCAAACTTCTCATGGAGCAATCAGAATCAAAACAGACCACAAAGTCAATATCAGCAGCAGGATAAAAAGCCACCATTGGAAGAGATGTTTGAAAAGTTCATGGTGACAACCAATCAGTATATGGAAGCCAACAATCAGTTTATGCGAAAGACAGATGCAACTCTTCAAGACCAAAGTGCAGCAATAAAAAATTTGGAGACACAAATGGGACAGATGACAATCTCCATTACGGGTAGAGCACCAGGAAATCTGCCCAGCAACACTGAAATCAACCCTAAGGAGCACGCAAAGGCTATAACAACCAGAAGTGGAGTACAACTACCGGAGATACATGTCAAAAGATTGGTAGCTAGTAAGGAATCAGCACCAACCTCGGATGACGAAATTGTGGAACAAACTAAACAAACAACAGGGAATGTGGTCGAGGAGAATTCCAATACATCACGGGATGACATTCCTATCAACCCTCATGAGCCTTCTATTCCATTTCCGCAGAGATTGAAAAAGCACAAATTGGATCAGCAATACAGTAAATTTCTTGAAGTCTTCAAGAAACTACACATCAACATTCCATTTGTTGAAGTACTTGTTCAGATGCCAAGTTATGCAAAATTCTTGAGGGATATCCTCTCCAACAAGTGAAAGATAGAAGAACACGAAATAGTGATGCTAACTGAGAAGTGCAGTGCCAGAATCCAGAGAAAGTTGCCTCCAAAACTAAAGGATCCAGGGAGTTTTACTGTACTTGACACTATAGGAAATTGTCATTTTGATAAAGCATTGTATGATTTAGGTGCAAGTATTAATTTAATGCCTCTCTCTATTTTCAGAAAACTCGGCTTGGAAGAAGCTAAAGCCACAACGGTTACATTACAGTTAGCAGATAGATCCCTTACACATCCAAGAGGGATCATTGAAGACGTATTGGTAAAAGTGAAGAAGTTCATATTTCCAGCCGATTTTCTTATCTTGGATATGAAGGAAGATAAGGATGTTCCACTTATATTGGGGCGACCTTTCCTAGCTACTGGAAGAGCGATTGTTGATGTTCAGAAATGGCAGCTTATATTGAGGCTTGGCGAAGAGCAAATCTCATTCAACGTGTTCAAGGCAATGAAATTCCCGACTGAGTCAGACAGCTGTTTCCAGATCCATGTAATTGACAGAATAATTTAAGATACATTTCGGCTACATCATCCTTCCGATGCTTACGAGGCGTGCATTGCACATTCTCAATCCACTCACACTGATTCGAGTGATATTGAAACATGTGCATAATTTTTGGAAACTAATCCGCCATACATGCGTAGACGTTACTTCTAAGAGTTGGGAACCAAGATTACACAGTCAGTGCAATCTATTCAACAAGCTCCCAAATTGGAACTCAAGTAACTGCCACCACACCTGAGATTTGCTTACCTGAGGGAATCTTCTACACTTCCAGTTATTATTTCGAGTACTGTTAGTGAGGTGGAGGAAGAGAAACTACTTCGGGTGCTAAGGGAGAATAAAACAGCCATTGGATGGTCGATTGCAGATATTAAGGAGATCGGTCCGTCGCTATGCCTACACAAAATACTCATGGAGGAAAAATTTAAACCAAGCATTGATGGTCAGGGGAGATTGAATCCACACATGAAGGAAGTGGTTAGGGCTGAGGTATTGAAGTTGCTCGATGCCGGCATCATCTATGCAATATCAGATAGTGCTTGGATCGGTGCAGTACAAGTTGTTCCCAAGAAAGGGGGTATCACAGTGATAGAAAATGAGAAAAATGAGCTGATTCCTACACGGACTGTGATTGGATGGAGAGTATGCATCGATTACCGCAAACAAAATGCTGCTACTCGAAAGGATCACTTCCCACTACCGTTCATTGATCAGATGCTGGAGAGACTAGCAGGGCATTCGCATTATTATTTTCTGGATGGATATTCCGGGTATAATCAGATTCCTGTAGCACCTGACGATCAGGAGAAGACAACTTTCACTTGCCCCTACGGTACCTTTGCATACCGTAGGATGCCGTTTGGTTTATGCAACGCTTCCGCAACTTTTCAGCGCTGCATGATGGCTATCTTCTCAGATATGATTGAGAAATTCATCGAGGTATTCATGGACGATTTCTCCGTGTTCGAGTCTTCGTTTGATGAGTGCTTGGAGCATTTGAGTCTTGTGCTACAGCGGTATACGGAGACTAACTTGGTATTGAATTGGGAGAAATGCCACTTTATGGTACAGGAAGGCATCGTGCTAGGACACAGAATCTCAGCAAAGGGTATTGAAGTGGACAGAGCAAAGATTCAGGTGATCGAGAAATTATCGCCACCTACATCCGTGACAGGTGTTCGTAGTTACCTCGGGCATCCTGATTTCTACAGAAGGTTCATCAAGGATTTCTCAAAGATTACTAAACCGTTGTGCTGTCTGTTGATGAAGGAATCCATATTTGAGGTCACCGATGAGTGTCTGCTCGCTTTTAACACTTTGAAGGAGAAGTTGATTTCAGCACCCGTGATCATTACACCAGATTGGAATCTGCCATTTGAATTAATGTACGACGTCAGTGATTATGCTGTTGGGGCTGTCTTGGGACAACGAAGAAATAAAATATTTCACGTGATTTACTATACAAATAAGACCTTGAACGACGCTCAACTCAATTACGCCACTACAAAAAAAGAGCTCATTGCCGTAGTCTACGCCTTTGACAAATTTCGGTCATGTCTCATGGGATCAAAGGTCATCGTTTACACAGATCACACTGCTATCAAGTACTTAATGGAAAAGAAGGATGCAAAGCCCTGTCTCATTCGTTGGATACTGTTGCTTCAAGAGTTTGACTTGAAAATTAGGGATAAGAAAGGCAGTGAAAATGTAGTGGCAGACCACTTCTCTCAACTCGAGGCCAAAGAACAGACAAAAATAGTGGAAATCAACGAAGTCTTCCCAGATGAACAGATTTTTGGTTTGGGGGAGGCACCCTGGTATGCGGACATCGTTAACTACTTAGCCAGGTCTATCATGCCGCCTGATTACTCCAGTCACCAGAAGAAGAAATTTTTCTCTGAATTGAAATATTATTTCTGGGAGGATCCCATTCTATACAGGCGGGGGGCAGATCAAATTGTTCGTCGCTGCGTACCTGAGGAAGAAATGCCTTTGATATTAGAACATTGTCATTCATCTACATATGCAGGGCATTTTGGTGCTTCAAAAACAACAACGAAGATTCTTCAATCAGGTTTTTATTGGCCTACAGTATTTAAAGATGCTTTGGAATTCGTGAAAAGGTGTGACCGATGTCAACGTACCGGCAATATATTCAGGAGAAATGAAATGTCTTTGAATAGTATCCTGGAGGTGGAACTATTCGACGTCTAGGGGATCGACTTCATGGGGCCATTTTCCCCATCATTCTCTAATCAGTACATATTAGTGGCTGTAGATTACGTATCAAAGTGGGTAGAGGCCGTTGCACTGCTTACCAATGATGGGAAGGTGGTGATTGAGTTTCTAAAAAAAACATATTTTTACCTACTTTGGAACACCGAGGGCTATAATCAGTGACGGGGACAAACATTTCTGTAATCGTTAGTTCGAACAATTGTTAGCTAAATATGGCCTTAAACATCGTGTAGCCACTGCATATCATCCCCAAACCAGCGGACAGGTTAAAGTGTCCAATAGACAATTGAAGCGAATACTCGAAGTCACAGTAAGCTCATCACGAAAGGATTGGTTTAAGAAATTGGACAACGCCTTGTGGGCATATAGGACTGCATTCAAGACCCTTATAGGAATGTCACCATATTGACTGGTGTTCGGGAAAGCAACTTACTTCTTGAGATAGAACATCATGCTTACTGCGCAATGAAAAAATTGAATTTGGATTTGAAGGCTGCGGGTGAAAAACGTCTCCTACAACTTAATGAGCTGGATGAGCTCAGAATGGAAGCCTACGAGAATTCAAGAACCTACAAAGAGCGCACCAAGAAATGGCATGACATGCACATTCAGAGGCGTGAATTTACGGTGGGGCAGAAAGTGCTACTCTACAACTCTAGGCTTAAGTTGTTTCCAAGAAAACTGCGATCGAGGTGGTCTGGTCTGTATACTATTACACAGATTTTTCCACATGGGACAGTTGAGATCACTCACGATAGCAAAGGGACATTCAAGGTCAATGGACAACGTCTGAAGCACTATTGGGACGGTGATTTTTCAAAGAAAAAGTCTACCGTTCATCTTCGACCATCAGAATGAAGCAACATGGTAAAGTCGAGCTATCGACTATAATCTAGCACTGAGTGGGAGGCAACCCATTGTATCCTTTTATTAGCTTACTTTCCACATTATTTTTAAAATTATTTCATTTTCGCATTTGCATTTTTTTAGGTCATCGGTTGTACATGCATGTTAATTGGATCGAATTATCATCCCCATAATTTCCTAGGCATTACACACATGGTAGGTGAGTTTGAAACGATTTTGGGTGTTTGGGAGCATGGTTCACGCTTTTCTAGATCAAAGAACCCTTTTTTAAAAAAAATTTGGTCTATTCGATCGCATAGACAGTATCCGAAAACAAAATTGGGGAAATTTTTATTACTATGCAACCGCATAGATTAGTATTATGCGGCCGCATAAAACTATGACCGAGCCATTCCATCTCCCATTTTCACTTCTCTTGCCTCACACACTCTACACTTCACACACCATGTTCACGTATTTATTTGTTTCGATTTTAAAACTACCGCAAGTGTACGGTTCGTTAGCAAGTAGTAAAATGGACTATGGGTCCAAGTATCGTTCCCACGAGGATTGAATTAGCTCTAATTAGACTAATGTGACCTTAACCGAATCTAATTGAATGAAAATTTGGTTTAAATGTGAAAAGCCCTAATTTTGGAAGAAACTCCAAATTTGAAACCCTAATTTCGAAATTGGAAACCCTAATTTCGAAATTTCCCTAATTAAATGACTCAACAACTCAATTAAAATGTAAATATGCAATGTTGTAAATTAAATTGTAGAAATAAGTTGAAATTCATTGGGATATCGAATCCCCATTTGATTTCTATAAACCCTAATTTCACAAATCCAATTAATCAATGGAAAATTGTCAATTCAATGTTCCTACGCCTATCTAATATACTCTCTCGATATATATTAGATCTATTTCTGCATATCATCAGCCTATATTTCTATGGATGATGTAACATACAAAAACACATGAAATTCTATGAACAATTACCGAACTGCATAAAGCATAGGGGTATATTTCTATCTCCTATCGGACCCTATGTCAATTTATATATATCGAGTCTATTCTACTTCTTTCGAATGTAAAGAATAAACCATCACAATCACATAATAAATGGCCAATAAATCATGGATTCAATCAAAACAATATAAATCAAACAATTTATTCCAAAGACAATTTATATTAAACTCGTACCCTTATTCTGGACGTGTTTTAGGGTAAGAGTTGGAGTCGAAAAATGAAACTGCAGAAACGTCTCGAATTTACACCTATGCGACCGCATAGAAGGATTCTATGCGGTCGCATAGAACAATAAAATTTCCTCTAGAATTCCCTGCAACCTTCTATGCGACCGCATAGATGGTTACACTATGCGGTCGCATAGATATAACCAACTATGCAGTCCTTACATTTTGGTCCCTGAACTTCCTTGTTGCTTCTCTTGACTTCTTTCTTCGATTTCTTCATCTTTTCAACAAATTTTATCTTCCAATTGATGATTGATACCATCAATTCTTATGCCCCTCATTCGGCATATCTTTTGAGTATTTGCGCTTTAGTCCTCCAACTTTCAATTGTCTTCATTTCAGCATTGCATGAATTTAATAGGATTAAGCCACAATTCAACCATTTTATCCATGTTTAAGTCATGTTTGTGAACCAAATAAGTGTGTAAAAACATACTTATCAAATCCCCCAAACTTAAACTATTGTTTGTCCTCAAACAATGCAGTGACATAATTCTGAACAAACATGGCTTAACACCTTACCTTGGCTCAGGATTGGACTAAGTAATTGATTTTATGAAAATTTATCAGCGCAAGATGACATCAACATTCAACTGTTAAGTGCATACCTGACGTGTGTGTGTGGATTCATGCTAACATATCAAGTTCATGATGAGTTTGAGTCCCGACCCCAAGTGGTCAAATGTCTCCTTACTCGCTCGAGAGATACACAACCCCCCAAACTTATTCTTTTCACTCAATTATCCCGGGGTTGTATTTTAAAAATTATGAGTTTACCTAGCTTTAGTTCTCACCCTCTCGTAGTTTGGATTAATTTCACTATCACAAGTTCACACATCAACAAGTGAAGGCTCTCCTAGTTTTGATTGCTTCGACACTCAAGACTGAACTAGGTTACTTGCCTCGCCTCAAAGGTATAGTTTCTTCCACCAATTGTCCAAGGGCTTTTCTTCTTGTTATTTTCTCTTTTTGTTTTTCTCACTTTTCTCTTTTTTTTTTCTTTTTTTTTATCATCTTCTCATTTGCTTTCTATATAACCCATGTAACGAGCTTTAGGCCGGTGACTCCCGAACCAGTCGGTTTTAGGGCACCAGGTTTTAGACCCTTGCAGGCTTATTCACTCGAGTTATAAAGGCTCGATCAGATGACTTTTTATTAACTTCTTTACTTCTTGCTTTCTATATGACCCATGTAACGAGTTTTAGGCCGGTGATTCCCAGATCAGTTGACCTTAGGGCACCAGATTTTGAAATATCCTTACAGGCTTACTTGCTCGAGTCATAAAGGCTGAAAAAAAAGAAGTGTCTTATTCTTACAAATTAAGTTTATGCCCTTATTTTTCTAGACATTTGGTATCCAAAACTAACCCTTAATTTAAGATTTTCACCTACTCTTCATCCCACTGGTCTAAGTAATCCACACAATAATTCATGCACGGAGCCTCACTCATTTCAATGTTCGCCTATAATAGTTCAACTATCACCAAACTGTCTTAAGGTATTTTACGGGTTCATTCAATAGAGGGTTATAACTATCTCTCTACTTTATGCTCAAAACCCCAATCACTTACCTAACATGTCAAGCATGAATGACGTGCATAAAAAAATGTCAAGTATTGCGTCAACAAGTATAGGTTAGCCTAATTAGCACCGATCCCAAAGTTCTGAAATGTATCAATCCAATAGTAACATCATAGCCGGCAAGGCGATTAAGCTCACACAAGCATACATAAGCATAATCAATATTCACTCACAAGCATGTCTCATGCAGCAATTTGTCAAAATAAATCTAGATTGTGGAAATGCAATTAGTTACATGCTGAATGTCTTAATCAAATTATGCCACGATCCCCCAAACTTATACAAGACATTGTCCACAATGTGACAAATAAGTTTAGAAGGCAGAATTTAAGGAAAATGAATATAGATGAGGCAAACGATACTCTCCTGATCAAAACGGGGGCTGCGATAGGAAGTTAGATCCTGCAGTATCATCAGCTGGAGATGGAGGTAGGCGCGCCAAGATCTCTCTCATCAGTGCTGACTGCTGTGTCAATTCATCGTGGATCCCCTCAACACGTGTCTCCAAACGGTCCAAACGCTCCCAAGTTTCATTTACCCTCAGCTGGATGCCATCCACCCTGCCCACATACACACTGAGTCGACCATTCATCGTGTTCTTCTCCTTCCTAGCTGCCTGGGCATCGTGGCGAGCGGCACGTGACATATCAGTGGCAATGCGGATGTCACGGTGGGCTGTATGCATCTCAATCGTCAAAGTTTCCATAGCCTGCTGGAGACTCTGCACATATCGGCTGATCCCCGTGGTGGTGGTGAAAATCTGGCGCCACAACTATGCATTCAACTCAGCCTGTGATGGAGGAGCTTGAGGCATTTCTTGCTCGGCTTGCTCGTGACCTTACTCCCGCCGCTGTCTGCGCCTCTCAATTTCTTGCTTCTCCCAATGCTTTAACCTGGCTCTGTCTTGGGCCTCCAAATTACTGCGCTTTATGGTGGGGCCGGGTTTGGTAGCCACCTCCCCGGATACAATGTTTATACCAGCAGCTATGCAAATTTTGGAGATGAGGCTTGGGAAGATCATGGAGCTATGTCTATCACCCAAAGTACCCACATAATGTATCTGATCATAGCAAAGAGTGGCAAGATCAACCTTATTACCGCGCACCAAGTGGTAGAGGAATCCAGCTGTGGGATCTGTGAATGAGGTCCTGTGAGAGGTAGGCTCAATGTTGTGGCACATGAACAGCCATAGGATCGCTATAGATGGTGTAAGCTCAATCTGATGCCACTCGGTAGTGGGGAGTGGCCATGCATTCTGTCGCCCCAATAAGATCTCCACCACTTCAGGCCAATTGAAGTCACCTGGTACAGGCGTTATGTTTTCCCACGTGAGCTGGTAGTAGTCTTGTATAACTTCGGGTGAGAATGTGATCCATTTTTCCCGGACCCAAGTCTGATGTAGGTGATCGGACCCTGGTGTGTCAATTTCAATATTGAAGTTGGCGTAAAATTCCCCCATCAACAATTCATAATTCCGATGTGGCTGCTCCACTATTTTATGCCATCCACAGTTCTGTAACAAAGTAGTTAGCTCGAAACCAAAAAAGTCTTCTAACTTAACAGCCCTTTCTGGTATCACTGTCCATCGACTCACTATGTTCTCATAACAGGCTGCTACCTCGGCAGTTAAAAATCTTTGTATACCTCCTTCAAGCACACGAGTGCGTGCTGTGCAGGATGATGAGCCGACCTTCTCATTCCCTTTTGAAGTTCGTTTTGGTGGCATCCTGCAAAGTTGGAAAATAGCAAGCATTAGCCATCTTGTTATACAATGAGAAATCGCATGAAATGAAAAGCACGTAAAGCACGAATCCCCCAAACTTGTTTCAATAAGCATGTATACTACCATGGTGTAATAAACAATGTATGATGATTAGAGTAGTATAAATGTATAGTCCACATGGAAATATAAGGAAATTTTGGAAGAATATGCTCATAGTTAAAGGGTTGGAGTCATGGTTGAGTGTACACCTTCGGCCCTGGGCATCATCGAGAATTATCAAGATTGTCCCGGGCATCCTCCGGGCATATGGAAGTATGCAATGAGGTCTAGCACATATTCAAATTTCAGCCCAATCGGAGTTCTTTTGGTGTGTCAAATAGTAGTGTAAATAAAGGACGGAGGGTGCTTGGGCATGCTATGACTTAACTATTTTCGTACATGTGTGTGTT